ACAACGATTGAAAAAAAAACCATAACCCGGGCGGGGGATTAACCCGCTATCAGGGGATTCAAAATTCCAGACCTTTCGCTTTAGCCACTGGACCAGCTACCAAAAAAAAATTCGTCCAACTAGGTTTAATTTCTACACCATAAAAAAATTAAAGAAAAAGGCCCCACTGTAAGGCTGATGAAATTTATTTTTGTATGTACATTATTTCGTCGCCCTTTCAGTGTTTCGATAAAGGTTTTTTCTCACACAAAGGATAAAGGCTTCAAGATACCCACCTAGCTTTTTGGCCTGGACCTGTGTAAATCTAGCGTTTTGGGGTCGTGCCCCCCTTTTCACGCCTGTCGGTCTTTTCCCCCCCTCCGGGTTTCACCCCATAAACCCAGATGCTCCCAAAACAACTTTCCTTGTAAAAAAAAACTTTTTATTTTTCCCGGGGGTTTAATTTTCCTTTTCAATTTGGAAATTTTTCTAAAGGGGTTCAAATTTTTTCCTCAAAATTTGAAATTTACAAAAATTGGGGGCCCAGAAGAACAAAAATTTTGGGGAATCTCTTTTTAAATGTTTTTTTTAATTTTTTAACATTTTCGGGGGTTTGAATAAATAATTTAGATAACCCCAAAAAAATGATAAGAAAAAGCCTTGTGCCAACATTTGGTTTCTTTTTTTTTCCGGAAATTTTTTCCGTCAGTCAGTGACTTCTTTAAGTACAATGATGAGAAAAAAACCCGATGAAAAGGTTTGAAAAAATAAGTCCCTAGCTTGGAGTCTATGCGTTTAGTCCTTTTAAAAAATCTTGGAAAATTGTCCCAAAGACTGATTTTTAAAAGTTTAAATGTTTTTTAATGCCCCCCCATACCCACCCTTGGGGGCGGTGGTTTAAAAAGATTACAGAGGTACTTTTTTTGGGGGTCCAGGGCCGGGGGACCCCAAATTTTTGGGATAGCAAAGAAAGTTTTCAGGGGGTAATGAAATCAAAATTTTTTAACAAAGGAAAATAAACCCCAAAATTTTTAAAAAAGGGAATTTAAAACCGGGGTGGGGTTATCCAAAATTATGACAAGTTACAAAGGTTTTACAGATTACAGAGGTACAAAATTGGGGCCCCGGGCTGGGCCCCCAAAATTTTTGATAGTTTGAATAGGTAAAAAGGAATTTAATCACAATTTAAAAAGGGAAATAAATCCCGGAAAGAATGGACTCAACACGTTGACTCATCAACTCCAGCCTGAGGGACTCATTACCTCAAAATTCTCATCTTCTGTCGTTTCTCTATATTGAACTGAAGAAGTCACTGGTTGGCTTCTTTAGTTCAGTGTGTCTTATTTATCACCACGTAGGTTGTAGCTCTGGGTCTTGTATCACCTGCTGTGATATACTTTACTGTAGGTTGTAGCTCTGGGTCTTGTATCACCTGCTGTGATATACTTTACTGTAGGTTGTAGCTCTGGGTCTTGTATCACCTGCTGTGATATACTTTACTGTAGGTTGTAGCTCTGGGTCTTGTATCACCTGCTGTGATATACTTTACTGCAGGTTGTAGCTCTGGGTCTTATATCACCTGCTGTGATCTACTTTACTGTAGGTTGTAGCTCTGGGTCTTAGATCTCCTGCTAGTGATCTACTTTACTGTAGGTTGTAGCTCTGGGTCTTGTATCACCTGCTGTGATATACTTTACTGTAGGTTGTAGCTCTGGGTCTTAGATCTTATTACAACCTAGGAATCCAAAGGCCTGTTATCCTGAGTGTAAAGGAAGCAAAATAAACACAGCAGAAAACTTTTGACTTACATTATCCTTTCACCAAGTAAGAACAGATGTACACGTGCACTAATACCTATTGTACAACAGGTATTAGTGCACGCCACGGTAAACAAGGCAGAATAGAAGCCGCTAGAGAGCAGACCGTGCTTCAACCAGCTCTAGAATGGAAATGACAAGGGCAGACAGGCGGGTGGTGCCCAAAACACCTCTGCGATTGCGAAAACCATCTTCTCATTGGCTGAACCTGGGTACTGATCGAACAACGTGGCCCCATCGTCCAATCCCTGATACTAGTTCGCTGGTTGGGGGAGATAGCCTTTCAATGAGGGTGTGTACATGCCCCGAATAAAGATTATGTACACTTTGAATGCCACACCCCCACCCCAAGAGGGCTCAGGAATAGGCTCCCACCTCCCATTGGTAACCGTGCCAACATGGTACCAAATGGGACTGCCTTTCTTCTCAACCATCCAACTCTTAGATAAAGCTCAGCTTTATTCACGACATAAAGCCAAAGGGGTGAAAAAGAGAGCTTTCACGTTACCATAGGTCCCTAATACATCCTAACCTAATACATTAATACAATCTGGATAACGCATCTGCCAACTTTTTTCTTTGCTGGCAATGTGTAATATTCTGAGAGAATAGGGTTGCAGTCGTAGACTCCATCTCATGAGCCTCATATTGTGGTTCTTCATGGCTTGGAGATATACCAGAGGGTTGTGGTCACTTTAGACAGTGACCACCTGTGAAGTCTGGCCCATGTAAACATCGAAGTTCTCCAAGGTCAGTACCAGCACGAAGGCTTCTTTTTCAATGGTAGAGTAAGCCCTCTTATGCGGCTGGAACTTTGCCGAGTAGAAGGCCACAGGCTGCAATCCCACATCTCCATTCTGCATCAGTACTGCTCCAACCCCAGACTTACAAACATCAACCTGTAATGAGAAAGGTTTGGAGAAGTTTGGAGACAAAAGAATGGCTTCAGTACACACTAATCTTTTTGCTTTCGTAAAAGCATTTTGACATTCTGGGGTCCAATTAAAGGAACTTTGTGACTGGTAAGAGAGGTAAGGGGAGGGCTAAAAATATCTGAAATTTTTTTTACAGAATTTTCAGTAAAACCCTATCATGCCTAGAAAACGTTGAAGAGATTTCCTATCATAAGGAATTGGTAATCTTTAATGGTAAGAGCTTAGTAAATTTAGGACCAACTTTGCCACTACCTACTTCATGGCCCAGAAAAGTAACAGTGGCTTGGCCAAAGAAGACTTAGAAAATTAACAGTTAAATAGAAACTGAAAGGTCTCAAAGAGAGCCTTAAGCCTAAACAGGTGTTGATCCCAAGCATCAGACACCACCACGATGTCATCTAGGTAAGCTGTAGTGCCTTCAAGTCCTTTAATAGCCTGATGGATAAGTTTCTGGAATGAAGAAGGGGAGTTTTTCATTCCGAAGGGGGTAACAGTATATTGATAATGACCTCCTGGAATTAAAGAAGGCAGAGATTTCCTGCGCCTTATCCGTCAAAGGTACCTGACAGTAACATTTAAGGAGATCTAACTTGGACACAAAAGTAGCCTTACACACAAAGTCGATTATATCATTCAGACGAGGAAGAGGGTAAGCATCTGTGATTGTGACCTCATTCACCTTACGATAGTCTGTACACATGCGAAACAATCCATCAGCTTTTTTAACAAGGATGCACGGTGAAGCCCATGGACTAGATGACTCCTCCACTAACCCATGCTCTAACAGAAATTCCCCTCCTGTTGAAGTAATTTCTGTTTTTCAGGATTAGCTCTGTAGGGGCAGAGTTTAATAGCTTTAGAGTGTCCAACATCTACGTCATGATAATCTAATGCACATTTTTCGGCACATTCGAAAAAATGTAAGGGTATGACTGTAGAAGCGCAGTTAAACTTGTTAGTTGAGTTTTAGATAGCCCCACCATTAAAGGGCAAGGGGCCTTGAGGAGGACAGAGTTTAGAAGCTTGACATTAATTTCAGAAATAGAGTGTAAAGAGTCAGAGTCTTCCTCAGAGGTAGAGGACAGAATCACTACCTTTGTTGCTGTTTTCAATAACGGAAACTGTGCAGGAGTCTATCGGGTATAGTCCGTTTGAGCTGATCTTGGAGCACAATGCACGAGGTCCTCTTCGGGTGCTCAAAGAAGGATGGATGGGAGAAGACGTTAGCTCAACACTCTATAACTCATCTTCAAGGTTGCAGGTGGCACGTCAGTTAGCCAAGGCTAACCTAAAGGCAGCTCAAAATAAGATGAAACAGAGGTAGTGATTCATCCCAGTCTGTAGGAAAATGCATTCAAAAAGTTCTCATCATGGTTTTTAACGTCTGATGGAATCTTTCCAAGGCGCCTTGGGACTGAGGATGATAGGCAGTGGATAAGTTGTGGATTATCCCTAACCTAGTTAATGCTTCCCTAAATGCTTTGGCAGTGAAGTTAGTACCTTGATCACTTTGAATAGATTTAGGAATGCCAAAACAAGAAATAAATCTGGTTAAAACCTTGAGAATGGCTTTAGTATTAATACTGCACATGGGAATCGCTTCTGGGTATCTACTCTATCGATAATGGTAAATAAGTACTGATTTCCAGACTTTGACTTAGGTAGTGAACCTGCACAATCTATAATTAATTCTGCAAAAGGTTCCCCATCAGCAGGTATAGGCTGGAGAGGTGCAGGTTTAATGGAATGTCCAGATTTCCCTACTTGTTGACATTCTCGGCAACATCGGATATGATTCTTCACATCCTGCCTTAATTTTGGCCAATAGAATTCTTTTTTGATTCTATATAATGTTTTTGTAATTCCTAGGTGACGTCCTAATGAAGTAATATGACCTATATTCAATATTTGAGGTCTAAACTTTGTCGGAACCACTAACCTGTCTGACAGTTGCCTACCCTCTATCTCCTTACAAATCCCCTGAAAGCATACCCCTTAGAAAGAGTTTTTAAAAAACAATGCAGGAAATTCGCAAGAACAGGCGAAATTTTCAAACCCCTGTTTGTGTATTTTTCATGACTCCGAAATCGTAATGCCCACGTTTGGGAAAAAAAACCCAAATACCACGGGGGGGGGAATTAAAACCCCGCTATAGAGAGTTCAAAATTCCGGGCCCGGGTCGCGTTAGCCACTGGACCAGTTTAGCCACAAAAAGGATTCTTTTCCCAACAGGTATATTTCAAAACCATAAAAAGGGTTTTTACCCAAGGCCCACTGTAAGGCTAAAGCATTAGTTTTATGTACAAATATACGAGTCCCCAGTGCTTTGATAAAAGGTTTTTCTCACACACAGGCGGGCCCTTCAAGATAGCCCCCTAGCTTTGGGGCCTGGCCCTGTGTCTTTCTAGCTTTTTGGGTCGCCCCCCCCCTTCCCGACCTGTGGGGTTCTTCCCCGCCCCCAGGTTCACCAAAAACCCAGAGGGACCAGACAAAACACCTTGTAAAAAAGCAATATTCATTGTTCAGTTTATATTTCCATCAATTCGGGAAAAAGAGTTTCAAGGTCGATTTTTTTCCTCAAAATTTGAAATTTTACAAAATTGGGGTCAGAATGCCCACAATTTTGGTATTTTTTTTCAATTTTTATTTTAATTTTCTTAACAGTTCTTTTGGTTTTGGAATTTTTTAATTTAGAAAACCCCAAAAGGGGATGTAAGAAAAAGCACTTGTGCAAACATTTAGGATTTTTTTTTTCCGGGAAAGGGTTTGTCAGTCAGTGACTTCCCCGTACAATGATGAGAAAACAAAACGATGAGAAGTTTGAAGTATCGCCCCGGAGCTTGGGTCTATGCCCCTGAGCCCATCAATCTTGGCATTGTACCAAGGAGATTTTTAAAGGTTTTAATATTTTATTATGCACCCCATCCCCACCCTGTGGGGGGAGTAAAAAGTTTTACAGGGGTTTAAAAATTTGGGTCCAGGGATGGACCCAAAGTTTGATAGCTGAGAAATTTTTACAGAGGTAAGGGAAATTTTTTTTTTTAAACAAAGGTAATGAACCCCCCAAAATTTACAAAGGTAATGAACTCCAGGAGGTCTAGCCCCAAAATTATGACAATTTACAAAGGTATTTACAGTTACAGAGGTACGTAATGGGTCCAGGGGCTGGGCCCCTTTTTTTGTTTGCTGAACTAGGTCCAAAGGAAATGAACTCACAAGTTAAAAAAGGAAATTTGAACCCTGTAAAAAATGGACCCCAACACGTTGCTCACCCAATCCGGGCCTGAGGGACCCCATTACCTAAAAAATTTCTAAACTTCTGTCGTTTCTTATATTAAAGGGAAGGGGCATGGTTGGCTTTTTTTAGTTCAGTGTGTCCCCTTTTTTTTTTACCCACCCACCTTTTACGGGTTTGTAGTTTGGGGTTTTCTTGTATCACCTGCTGTGATAAAACTTTACTGTGGGTTTGGTAGCTCTGGGTCTTGAATCACCTGCTGTGATAATTTTACTGTAGGTTGTAGCTCTGGGTTTGGTATCCCCTGCTGTGATAAAATTTTTCTGAGGTTGTAGCTTGGGTCTTTTCCCCTTTGTTGATTACTTTACTGGGGTTTGAGTTCTGGGTCTTTATCCCTGCTGTAAACCCTTTTTTACGGGTAGGTTTTTAGCTCGGGGTCTTGACCCTGCTGGATTACTTTACTGTGGGTTTTGAAAGCTCTGGGTTTTGACCCCTTTTAAAATTTTTTAGTAAAGGGTTTTTCCCTGGGTAAAATTTTAAAAAGGAATCCCAAACCCCCGTTAAAAAAACCAAAGATGTACCAAAGGGAAACCCCAAACCCCCCCAAAAAAAACAAAAGCAGAAAATTTTTTGATTTAAATTATCCTTTCCCCAAGTAAAAAAACAGATGTCACGTCCCAAATTTTCCAATTGTAAACGGGGTTTAGTGCACCCCCAGGGGAAAAAACAAGGCAGAAAAAAGCCCTAGGGGAGAGGCCCGTGCTTCAACCAGCTCTAGAATGGAAATGAAAAGGGGGCCAGACGGGGGG